CCTACCTACATACCCCAAATTTTAAAGAGGTGTAATCGGAACCACAACATTTTTCTTTTATTTGGCCTAATTTGGAGTTTGATTCTACACACATACAATTCGTTATGTGAAGCCAGAAATTCATTAAATCTCACATTGAGGTCGGAGAAAGTTTTTTTTTTATTTTCAGACCTCTCTTTTAAAGCTGACAAGGGATAGACACCATTAGTCAAAACATCTAGACTAAGTTTTAATTCAGAGTAGTTGCTAGACTTTGGCAGAAATCATCTAGTGCCTCTTAAATTGCACTAGTCCCAGACAAACTGACCAGTGGTTCAGAATCTTACTAAAATCATATAACATTCAGACCTAGGCATGTATGAGAATTAAAATTAATGATGACAAGTATCTTTTCAAAGTTGGCCAAAAAAGTTAACTTTAGTTTTGCTTTTCCTAGTTTTACAAAGACAATTTTTGTTTTGCATACTGTCAGTCGGCATGCTATCAATGAAAGTGTAGATCCAGGCTGATTATTCTGAGTTTAAACACTCTTTATCCCAGGACAATACTCTACATCTCTAACTCTGACCGATTAATGACAGCATGTTGACTGTGGGAATCAATACAGCAACAAGAGGTCCTAGCAAACACATGGCAGACACCACATGGCAATTGTGTGGTGGAAATGGATATTTGATCACGATCCCTTAGTTGAATAATGATCTCAATACATTCATGATCAGGGCTGAATATGAACTGATGATGTATATTAAACAGGAATGGACACACAACAAAAGCTGACAAATGTGACATGATCTGTTTGACTGCTGGAAGTGCCCCCTCTGTTCTCCTTACACTGTTGGTAATGCTGTGGAGTTAGAATAATCATTACTGTATGTGTTTGTTTGGAGCTTACAAGAATATCGGTCCTGGTTCAGGTTCAATATTGACCTCATTCCACAGCATGACCAAATACTCCCATGAGAGGGTAGTGTCTCAGAATATTCCCAAAACTTAGACCCAGCTATTTTTTATGATTGTTTGATCGGCATTCTAGAAGTTGGTGAGTCAATGGTATAGCATACAAATTTATGGATAACACACCTTGTTTATTGCACAGAGCGACATTTCGGTGTACATTCTTACACCATTTTCAAGCTAAAAGTGACTTTTACTTTCACTTTGAGCTTGAAAATGGTGTAAGAATCTAAACTGAAACATCGTTCTATACTATAAACATGATGTTTTCCATAAAGTTGAATGCTTTCTTTATCATTTTTGATGACACTACATTTTTTATGCTACCTTGATTTTCAGTAAATTTCAAAGTTTGCCAGGTTATTTTAATTTCTTCAGATTGATATGTCTTCAAAGTAGAATTTTATTTCAAGTGTACCATAAACACTGTGTGATATAAAAGCAGTTGCCAGGCCGCCATTAGTACCCACTGACTTCCGAAGCTGCAGACCCTGTTCAGGCCCTCAATATCAAAGTGGTATGAAACTTAAAATGTTTGATTTTTTCTTTTATAAGGAATCTGAATGAAATTACTGAAAAAGATGAATGCTTTGTCAAACAAGAGCCATGAACCAAATTCTTCAACCCTTTTTTGTCTTAAACATTCTTTTCCTTCAGTTGACGTCCTACTCTGTTTGTTTCTGCAAAATATCTTCCGTTGATTGATTTGTGTTTTTTCTTCCACCGCATGGTGATTTGTGGTGAACTCTGCACAGCACGTTCTGAGATTAAGGCCTAAGAAAAAAAAATGTTGTGGTTCCGATTACCCGACCGACCCTTGAATTCTGGTGCCAACCCTAGTTTTTTTAGAGGTATGAATAAAATAAGCTTTCAGATACCATTGTTTTTTCCTGGCACCAGCGGACATTGGTCATTCGGATAAAGAAAGTCAACATGATGGCAGCAAGCTTGATTGAATAACCAATTACACATTGATAAATGTGTTATTAGTTGATTTATTTGTAAAAAAATGTAAATTAAAAAAAAAGAATTCCTACCTACCAACCCTAAATTTTAAAGAGGTGTAATCGGAACGACAACATTTTTTTTGTTTGGCCTAAATGCAACCGTTCTGCCTAGACAGTATCAGCTTGTATTATTTACTGGTTAAGTAAAATACCAACAGGAAGTGATTGCAGTGAGGCCAAATAGAAAAAATGTTGTGGTTCCGATTACACATCTTTAAAATTTAGGGTAGGTAGGTTTTTTAAAGTAAAGTACAAACTAATAACACTTTTATCAATGTGTAAATGTTTATTCAATCAAGCTTGTGGCCATCATGTTGACTTTCTCTATCAGAATGGCCGATGTCCTTCGGTGCCCGATAAAACAATGGCATCTTAAAGCTTATTTTATTCATACTGCTTTGAAAAAATTAGGATCGGCACCAGAATCCAAGGTCGGTCGGGTAGTCGGAACCACAACATTTTTTAGGCCTGAGTAGCTATACAAATGAATGTTCAATTTGAAGTGTATGTAAAGGGACTGGTTGTACATATTTGTCATGAAATTCAAACCAGAGAACTTTTAAAATATGCATCCGATCGTGACAAAAGGGGACAAATCCATTTACAGCAGGCCATTAAGACCTAAATTTAAAACAACAGGATCGATGTGAAGTCTTCCTACCGGTGACCTGTGGGCAGAAACTGGATACTTTCTAAGGCTGGCCATAAGGAACTCAGAAGGATATCATCAAAAAGTGTTTTAATGATTACTCTGACCCAACCTCAGACAAGCTGAGTGTCATGTCACCAAGCTAGATGATAAGCAGTTCTTAAGAATGTTCGTCATTTCCTCTTCTTTAATACTTACGTCATGCCACTGCTAGCTTCAGGAAACACTTTAGCCAACACAAAACAATATTATACTTAAGTGAAGTCTTCCTTTCTTAAGGATGCTGTAAAATATGCGGTCGTGTTTTGTCTTATATCGCAGGACTTTCGATTAAACGTATAATTCAGGAGTTGAAAATTGTATTTATTTATCTTTTTATGTCCCTTTTTTATACAAAGTCAATATAGTCCACTGTTTTAGACATTTCCTGGAATTTTGATAATGATCTTCCAGATGTAGAGAGAATATGAATTTATTCGTATTTATTTGTTTGTTTTCCTAGTTGTTCAAATTGCTTCATTCAGAAATATTCCATGTATAGTCATGTCACTATAACCTTCTAGCGCCCTAACAGGCAGCTTGGGTTATCCGGGGTAATAAGAATCAGATTCTGATTAAGCGCTGTGAGCAATCATTTGGTGTTTGGAGACTGTGCGCTATAGAAGATGACTTTTTATTATTATTATTATTTTTATATGGTCTTAGCCTAACAATACTTCAGTCTAGACCAAACAATCCAGTGATACTGTGAGCATTGATCCATATCACCAGGGTACAATGACACACAGTCAAACAAGGCACCGAACTTGACCACCTGTCCTCAAACTACCAGCATAGGTTGCTAGGGACCCGTTCTAATGTCGCAATATAGCTGAATATTGCTAAGTGCCGTGTTAAACAACAACGAAAACAAAAACAAACCCATTCTAACCTGGAATGCATACTGGGGTGATTTTTTCGTAATGATGACAAATATTATTGTACGATATAACAAAGATACAGAAAGTGTAAGAGAATGTGGGCTCCCGAGGGGATGTCAAGGTCAGGGTTTTAACTTTTACCTTGACACAAATATGGGGGTCTCAGGGACCCCAATTACTAGTTTCATGGGCCCTTGCAGGCAATGTTAGCTTCCTGTAAAGTAATGGTGTAGAAAACTGTACATTTTGAAAATATCTTTAGAGCCTGGAATGAATCATTGATCATGTGGACTGATGGATGAAATGATGCACGTTACTGCTCTGACAGAAACAACCAAACAATAAGCAAGGTCACTGATGTGTTGTGGGTACAGTGAATGGTATTGTATGTCCCTTTGGATTTTCTGCATCCATTCTGCACATTTCCGTGTCACGTAAAACCCTGCATGGAATATAGTGTGAGTTCATTTGTTCAAATTAAATATTTGCCATGAACATTTATCTCTGTCTTCTGATAATCGCCAACCAACTGCAAGGAATGCTTTAAGATTGACTTCCCAGAATGGCAGCTCTTATGAAGTGTTATCTCAAGCATGTCAAATTAAATGTTAATTGGAAGGCCCTTTGGGATTCCAAGTTAGAATTGGTCCAAAGCTGTCTAGGTTGTAAGAGTTTGTACTTTAAATGCCGCACACAGCAAGATTCCAGCTATATGATATCAGACAATCCAATGATTGGCATCCAGGGCATTGATCAATGCCATTAAGGATGCCATTGTATGCATCAACTTTTTCTGCCTGTTTTGACTTGCAAGGTTTCGCTGAAGACCAGTTCTAACCTAGGTCTTCACAGAGTCGATTGTAAAAGGGCATAAGATAATCAAGTGTTTTAGGCTTGATAGCATGTCACTGTATCCTGTGTCAAGGATCATTGCTCGTAATATTGATCATTAGTCCAGTCGCCACTGTATATAGTCAATGAATAGGTTTTTCACCACTTTAACAATTATTCTGGTCACATCACAATGTGTTAGCTTCACAAGGGCAGAAAACCTGAGGATGATAACGCTTAGGTGAAACCCAAGTACATGGGAATGGTGCAGACAAACGAAGATTCATCTTCTTAGCGAACAAAGATTTGAACCCACATTATATTGAATATTTCTGAGTGTAGCTTTCAGTGAGTGAGTTTACTTTAATGCTGCTTTTAGCAATATTCCAGCAATATCATGGTGGGGGACACCAGAAATGGGTTTTACACATTGTACCCATGTGGGGAATTGAACCTGGGTATTTGGAGTGACGAGCAAATGCTCACTAGGCTACCCCACCGCCCCTTGTAGCTTTTAGCTACAACCAGAGACCATATGATAAATTTTTATTCTCATGTGGTCTCTGCTACAACTAACAAAACAAGTACACGTACAATACATAATGGCAGGTTTGTATGTACTGTTCCATGTTGCAGGTATGAGAAAGGCAAGATCTACACGTACATCGGGGAGGTGGTCGTCTCCGTCAACCCATACAGGCCAGTGGATTTATACAACCAGAGTTTCGTGGAACAGTACCGAGGACGGGAGATCTACGAGCGGCCTCCACACATCTTTGCACTGGCTGACAATGCCTACAAGACCATGAAGAGAAATGCAAGGGATACCTGTATTGTCATTTCAGGTAAGTCATTTACGGAAATCAAGAACCTAAACATTGTGTAGATTTGGGTTAATTCATCCACCAATGGCTTCAATAATGCTGGCATTGTTTATGTAATTTTCCTTTATGGAAGTATTGCATCATTGAAAATTCAATATCTCCCATTGATCAGTGAGTGTTGACATAGGCGAATTGGACTTAAGTACACCTTTCCCAGGTAAAGACAACCATAACATTCAGCCTACCATTGTTGTAACACCTGTCACTTCATCGGTTATGTAAGAGCATCGATAGGGACCATCTCTTAGATATTTTGGAACCGCCTCCGTGGTGTAGTGGTTAGAGCGTCCGCCCGGAGAGCAGGAGGTCGCGGGTTCAATCCCCGACCGCGTCATACCAAAAGACGTTAAAATATGGTACTTGTTGGTCCCTGCCTGGCGCTCGGCATTAATGGGTACAACAAGAACTGGTTGGCTCGGAGTCAGTATAATGTGTCTGAGTGGGGTATTCATGCTTCACTGCGGCATGGTATCTCAGTGAGCTAGCACTATAAAAACAGCTTAAGTCTGGGCTAGTACAAGCAGCCACACATACACACGCATGCACGTCGTCATATGAGCGAAATATTCTCAGCACGACGTTAAACCCAATTTCACCTCACCTCACCCTAGATATTTTGGTGACTAAATATAGTCATATGAACATTAAGTGTCCAATTTTCTCTTTGATTCTGTGGCCAATGAGGGATGTCTTGTGTTTTCCCGATGCAGTATTGTTAAAATTTCATGTATAAAGTGATGCCCCGTATAAGGCGACCCCATTGTACAAACCTTCAAAATTGATGTTAATTTAAATGCCCAACTGTAAAGCAACCTTGAACATCATCAGCACATACACGATCCCCATATTTGCATTTAAATTGTGTTTGTTTTTCTTTGTTGTTTTTTGTACGTCATACTTGCTAACTCTAGCACATGGCACCATTTTGTGTGTTGACCTTTTTAGCTCTGAAGTAAGATTGAAGAAGGGTCTCTTTCCTGTAATTTAATCAATAATTATGTAAGTTTCAGTTTTGGAGGGCTAGTTTTGTTAAACTATAAGCATGTTTCTATTTAACAATCACAACAGGAACTGATGTCGGGTTCACTGGTAGGGTCATGTGAATGGTCACATGAGCAGTTGATTGGGGACGTCTCAAGTTATTAAATTTCTTCTTTTTTAACAGCAATATGATTACATATGTATTTATGGAAATGCAGGCATGATTTAAATGAAATATATTTGTAAATTAAACTTTTATGCCATATTGTATCTGAAAATTTGAGATGATCCCGCTCATGGTTACTTCCAGCTCTGTAGGACTGGAGAGCCTGTTTTCACTGTGTCAAGACTGGTTCGATTCCCCACATGGGCACAATGTGTCGCCCATCTGGTGTCCCCCAGAATTGCTGGAATATTGCTCATTTAAACTCAGTCAGTCAGTCAGTCCAGCTTGTAGTGCTTGAGACTGTTTTTTCACTGTGTCAATATCGGGAGAATGCTCATTGTATGAGGAATAATGAACAAGAAATTCACATGCATTGGGAGTTTATATACCAAAATAATCCATGGAATAGTTATTTCAAACAAAATCCTGTCAAGTTTCCTGTCAAACATCAGTGGCTATCAGACATTGGTTGGTAATGCCAGTCAGGAAATATTTGAGATCTTCCACCCTGTGTATAAAGCAACTCCCCAAAAATCTGATCAGACTATAAGCTTTAACATCTGGAATGAATTATTCATCTCAGTTAGGTTAATATTTGCTTACAGAATATTTTCATGGAAAACTCATTATATTTTTCCACATTTATACGTCAGGGAAAATTGATATAACATCAAGGATGTTACATGCCCACTTCCTATGATGATCTAATCAAGCAAAAGCCTATTAATATGTTCACTTAGTTCCCCATCATGCTGTAACATCTTAAAACATTAATCTTGCTGCAATCTGGCTTCATTTCCTGTCTGCTGTTAGTTAGTCTGCACATCGTGTACCGTCCGTTACTTGTGAGACATTTGTTATCAATCACCTGTTGTTGATGTTAATCATCTGCCGATAACCTCATGTCATATCCTGATATAGATACACCTCTCATCACTTCATCGTACTCATTCCAGCTTGAGAGCAGTGTAAGAATGTGTGTAGGTGATGCAGTAAAACAGAACTTGTTATTCATAAAGTGCATTTGCTTATTACCTGTACATGTCCAGGTTAGAATTGGTCTTCAGTAACCCATGCTTGTCATAAAGTCGACTAACGGGATCGGGTGATCAGGCTCGCTGACTTGCTTGACACATGTCATCGTATCCCAATTGCGTATATTGATAGTCATAACACAAATCACTGGTTTGTCTGGTCCAGACTCGATTGTTTGCAGACTGCTGCCATATAGCTGGAATATGGCTGAGTGCTGCATTAAACAACAAACCAAGCTTTTCTTATTTACTCATCATCTGCTAGAGAGTGTAAATCAGCTAAATGTATCAGTATATACTCCAAATATAATCAGTATATATTAGTGGTGGTCCGATTAATTGAAATAATCGAAGATTGGTCACAGTGACTCAACGACCAAGCAATCGATCATGTTTTCTCATAATCGAACACAAACAATTCCTGAACACTTTTTGCATTAACAATATTTTCACAAGGTTGGTTTTGTCTGTTACATTTCATGAGAACTACAAGCTCGTTCCAAGTCATGATTGAATTTATCTTCAAGACCCCAAGAGAGTTATGTTCCTAACATACTACTGTATTCATACTTTCAAGATGTGAAATTTGCCAAAAACCCCCAAAGAACTACATGTTTTTTCTTTATGTTTTTGTGCATTAACAAAACTAACCAGGAAAAATTCCTAAATGACGCTAACCAACTATTTTCGATGATTGATCAGTTGTAATGAAGCAATCATCAGTTATGAGAGTTTTACCAATTCCCAACACTAGTATATATTTCAAGTATGATCAGGAACTGCTCCAAGCCATTCCTTGACCACACTGACATGGCACCAAGATGTTGATGATGAAATGTGCCTCAGTACGGTTCCAGAGGGGTGGGATAGTCTTGTGGTTAAAGCATTCACACATCAGGCTGAAAACCTGGGTTCTATTCCTCACATGGACAGTGAGTGAAGCTCATGTCTGGAGTACCTCACTGCACTGTGTTTTTTCTAAAATATCGCTAAAAGCTGTTAAACCACATTCACATTTTTCAATACATCAATCATGATATGATGACATGTTTTCGAAGAAAATAAGAATATCATGACTTGTTCTTGTTTTACTAATGGAAATTGTCTTCCAAATGAAATTTTAGCTTTTCTTGCATCCGTTAAGCATTTTTTATTTTTTTTTGCTACTTCCAGGGGATGGTGATTAGAGGAAACAGTAAAAAGATTAGTTTCACTCATGTTTACGAGAAAAATAATTGTTCGCAAGGACATGCTGGTTGTCCTGGACTTGTGAAGAAATGTTTGCCTCCATTTTCAGCAAAAAAAAGCATGTTTTGAAGCACTGACCGACAAAATGTCCTGTTTGGCACTCAAATCTCAGTCTTACACCCCCACATAGAATATTAACTGTAGGAGTGGGGGAACTGTTCCACAAATATTGCTCCCAACATATGTAGGCCTCATTAAGGTATTGAACAAGTGTACACAATAGGGTATTAATGTTTTGATACCAAAAGCACATACAGCAACTTTGTCGACTTGTTCGCAAGTTCTCCATTCTCAGATGTGATGTTAACGCGAATATTTAAAACATTGATGCGGTCATTTTGAACTCTTGTAAGTGATCAGGGATTAGTTAGTTTGCCGAATGGTGATGTGTAAATGCTTCTCTTTGTAGAAAATCTGTTTGCTGAGTCAATAAATGTCTTTTCAGTATAGATTTGGTATATTTAAAGTAAATCTCTGTGTTGTCAGTGTTTCCTTAAAGGTACTGTATGTGCTAAAAAATCAAATAATCCATAGAGTGTTTTTTACCGACACAGTGTCAATTTCTTTGTGTGTGTGTAAACTACAGCTTGTTTAGCAGGCTGGAGCTATTTGTTGTGAGTTTTGCCCCAATAACCTGTGTTATTTGCCACCAAATAAATATTTGTAACCTGTGTGTTGACAATCGGTTCCCTTCCCTGAGGTCGAAGTAGCAGAAAATAGCTTGCAGTTCATGCTTTCCTGCAGCCTGGCCTGTCTGAGAAGCTGGTGGCAGCTAACTAGCAGGGTGATAATGAGCCTGGCACTGGTTTGGGCAGGAACCTTATACAGTTGGTGCTGTGTGATCAAAATTAATGTGTTGTTGCTAGAAGTGTTGCACATACAAGACATGACGATGCTGGGATTGGTAATGGTGTAAAGATGGATTCCAGTTGGTCTTGTGTTTGGATGTGGAGGAAGGGACTTGTTGCCCTGAAGGTAGCAGTAATTCTCTGCGGCAGTGGTGTACTTTGGAACAGCCATGTTCTGTTCCCATGTATTTCAATGGCGCTGTTTTGTTTGTGATGTTGCTATGATTACTTCACCTTTGGCATAATGTGTGATGGGGTCGGAAGGGATGTGGGGTGGCCTTGTGGTTAATGTGTTCACGCGTCACGCCGAAGACCTGGGTTCGTTTCCCCACTTGGGTACAATTTATTAAGCCCATTTCTGATGTCCCCCGCCGTGATATTGCTGGAATATTGCTAAATGAAAGCACTCACTCACTCACTCACTCACTCACTCACTCACTCACTCACTCACTCACTCACTCACTCACTCACTCACTCACTCACTCACTCACTCACTCACTCACTCACTCACTCACTCACTCACTCACTCACTCACTCACTCACTCACTCACTCACTCACTCACTCACTCACCCACTCACCCACTCACTCACTCACTCACTCACTGTCATGTTGACCTGTATACATTTAAATCTGGACCAGACGAATCACTTTTCCAATGTATTTTCCTTCATTGTAAATGGGAA